TTACAAACAAGCATACAGATTGAATTAGTATGATTTATTCCTTCCACTGCAGCAGATTCCACTGCAGCAGATTCTCATAATTAAGTTTAAGGTACTGCGCTCTGGATGTTTTGACCACTGAAAGGGTTTTGGAGCTGGATTTTTATCTGTACGATGCAGATTTCAAACAAGAACTATAAGTGTTTTATGAAAAAGGAATTGTATTAGAGAAATATAAACATGTGTTGTGAGTATTACTGAATGTAAAAAAAAGAGAGGGAGTGAAAAAGAACTTTGCAGTGTCTTGAAAATATGGTCCTTAAGTTTAGTTTTATAATGAACAAATTATGATTTTTACTTTAGTATAAAAATATTCTAGTGACTGTTAACTGTACTATATGTTAGGTCAAATCATAATGGCTAGCAGTTAATATAACATGATGTTACAGGTAAAAAAATAAATAAACCAAAATGTGATTTTTCAAAGCTTTCACACTAACCACTATCTAATAGACGGGATCATTGTCATGTTCTGTTTAAGCCCTGAGTCCCCTGCTGCACAGACCCTGTAAATCCTAGCTACATCCCTGCTATTAGAGTGCAACTTTCAGACTTTTGATGTAAAACTCAAAACCTTTAACTAGTGGTTACCAGATGATTACTCTGCACTCAGCATTGTCTGTTTAACCTATGGACAAACACACACAGATGCACTCACACACACACATGCCCAGCAGATACACACAGCAGCTAGCAGGCAGACTGTAATTCAATAGCCTAATATTTGTCATGGCTGCCTGCTTAGTTTAGACATAAAGACCTGATAACCCTGGGACATAACATTAAAGTTACACACAGACACACACGTGATCACACACATTCTTCCTTGTGCACACACACTCAGAGTCTGATAAGGTAAAACAAGAGGGCGACTGAGACAGCAACAACCATTTCAAGATTCAGTGTGTGTGCATGTGTCTAACTCCTCCAGGAATCCCACTTCAAATCAAGCCTTCTTAAAACAGACTTATTTCAGTCACAGTGACAATAAATCCCATTCACTCTCTGGCTCTGCAAACTGCTCTGTGTGTGTGTGTGTGTGTAAGTGACATAGTGTCTGAATATAAGTATAGAGACACTGTGTCTTAGAACCTTGGGGGGTAAGGCATTAGCCTGCATTCAGACTGAATTTCAAAGGTGTGAAAAAACACAGGTCTCCCCATTCATTTCTATGGGGATTTCCTCCACTGCAGCCAGCACCAGCACCGTCGGGGCTCTAGAAAAATGCTGGAGCTCCATTGGATCTGGAACTGGTTCAACCTTAGGCACACTGGACCATGACATCATCTGGCATTGGGGAATGGCCAGACCATGGACACCCATGGAAGAAGACTCTTTTGTTTCCCATGAGCATTCACTGCCATTCACTTTTGAATTTGGGCCAGTTCATGCACCATAGTTAGGGTGCCAGATGTTAAACAGTGTTTTTATCTATCAGTGCAGTATCGATGCTACGATAGAGTGAGCTATATTAGCAGCATGGCTAATCAAAATACAATGGAAACTCCCCGGCTGGAAACGTGAATGAAGCCAATCACATCAATTTATCACAATGCGGCCATATCGTACTCACCCATAGCATTCCCCCTGCAACCCCTCATCCCCCAATAAATGCAGTCCCTTGTGTTAAAACACACCAAGGAGTTGTGTTTTGACGGCCTTGATGTGAACATAGACTTAGAGTGGTGGAAAAGTCATCAAACTGAGTGTCCTGTCATAGCAGTTTGCCAAAACATAGTACCTGTGTATTCCAACTACCAGTGTACCTTTGGAGCATGCTTTTTAGCACTCCAGGTGACATTGTCTGATCAGAGCACAATGTCCTGTCTCCTGAGCATGTTGATTTGTTGTTTTTTTCTTCCGAAAAAAAACAACACCTCTGAGAGACCTGTTTGACTGTTGATGACCAACTGTCACTGTTTACCTCATTTCATAAGTCTATAAGCTGATATTAAACAAATGATGAACACACGCATGACTTTATGCAAACTACACAACTCTTATTCTGTAAAAACATGCACTCCAAAATTTGTCTGAGGCCCAAAGTGCCACTGCTACACTGTGGGTGAACTGTCATCACTGTGGCCTTTTTTAGGAACATTATCTTACATACAGTACAGGTATCTTCAGTTTGGTTGACTGATACCTCCTCATCAGCTGTTGTTAGCTCGACTGGTGATGGCCAGCTAAGCCGGGTTTCTCTCTCGGGCACCTCTACTACTGTGGAAATGGGCTCCACTTACATGTAACTCACTCGGCTTTGCAAACGGCATCTTTATGTCCATTTTGGCTGTTTCAGAATCTCTCAGGTGAAATCTGTGCAATGCTTTTGCCCATTGGTTGTTTCTTTCAAACCCCACAGATGAATACAGATGTGAACCATGTTCTCCTTCATGTAAAATGCAGATGAGAGAGGAATAAATAAGAGAAACACACACACTGAGATGCATAAATATAATCCAAACACAGGAGCAGTTATTAGTGTCCCAACATCACAAACCACAAAAATACTCCAGCAGTGACGTTTCAGGTGGAAACATTCAGGGTCAGTGTGGAGAGTAGGAGAAGTGAAAAAGGCCAAGACCTATTCTCACATATATGGGGATACATCAATATTGTTCTAGTACCAGTTTGAAAAATGCCAAACTATTCCTTTAAACCCTTTTACATTGTACTTATAAAGCCAGCAAACTGTTGCTCCTGTACTCTTTTTACACAGCTGCTGGAATCCCAGGACTAGAGGCAAGATGTTTGAGGGCAGGGTTACATACACACAAAGTACAGTCCAATACAAACTCTAGTCACGTTTGACAACCTAGGAAGTCAAAAGGAAGGTAGTCTTAGCTTATTTAGCAGGAAATGTTGTAAAGTTTAGGTCTGCTCGGCTTTCTTTCGAACGTAAAAGGCTAGCTTACACACCACAGTCCTCTTTATTTTTACTTAGCTTCTGGATGTCTTTTCAATGAAGCTTTAAAAATAATCAGCAAAGGTAGGTAGAAATATTCCACAGAAGTGAAACGAGCATTGCACAAGCTGGAAGACACCAGTCTTTTTATTGCTTAAACCACTATTTTCTCATTCTCTGTTGGAAGGAATGTTTTCCATTTGGGATACTGACATTTTCCAGCCATCCTTCAAGCAAAAAAAGCAGTTTACTGTACAGCAAATCCTTGTCATATTACTTTACACAGTCTCAGTTATTCTGCTTTGTTCTCTACCCTGTGATGCATGCACACCTTGTTGATGATGTTGCTTGGAAACCTGTCTGTAGAGTTGAAGTGCAATTGCAATAGCCCTGTAAAGGGGGTATTTATGTGAAACATACATGGACACAAACATTCCTCAGCTCATGTGTGTAATGACTGAAGGGAGCAAACAATGTGTCCTTTCACATAGCTTAACAGCTCTAGTCTCCCCCTGCTGGAATCCTCTGGTAACTATGTCTACTTTAGTAAGTGTTGTTGTTAGAATGACACTGACACAAATCAAAAGAAGACAACAACAACAAAAAAAATAGTGTTCCCAGTGATGCAACAGGTACCAACCCTTGTAAACATAAGATGATACACTATGAAAACACTCTCATATCAGAATATGAGGGATATTTAATATTGGACCATTAAGCGTCACTCCATCGCTGGATCTGACTTAAAGTGTACATTATTCCATCCATCACACAATCACATATTGATTGGCAGCTGTGTGCTCCCACCCCTGATGGTGGCCTTCTCTGACTGGTTAGAGAGTGTCATCCTGGTTCATAATCTTTAGAAGGGAATATCTCTGCACTGCTGCCAGGGTTAGTCTGGGGTCACAGGAACCTTCAACAGCAACTCTCCCATTAAGATAGGTTTTGGGGGTTGTTTCTACTGAAAAATATTGGAAGCCTGCTACATGTTGTAGCTTTAATGATATTGCAAATCATATGTTCTTGTCTTTAAATAAAGGACTGCTTTTCATAATGATGATATGATATGATAATGATGATTATGATAATATCTATATGAGTTTGCATTCTTGTGTGAGTCGGTGTATGTATATGTACAGTACATGTGTTGATGGATTCACACGTGTGTTTACAGTATGTGTGACTGTCTGTGCAATTGTGCATATGTCATTGCATGCATATGTGTGTGCGTCAGTGGACAGTGTGTCAGTCTTTCACACAGACAGACACGCAATGGCAGATGATTATAAATTCTTCATAACTGTTCCTAAATCATTCTGTCATGCACAAACCCTCTTTTCCCTGTTCCACCCATCCATCTACACAGACACACGCACAAATGTGCTGTTGGCAAAGGTACTAGTAATGTTATTTGACAGAGCTCTGATCTGGCTTCCACACGCAAATGTCTGTGGTGCACATCAAGTAATCTATCAGACATGTCCTTTACACAAAGCAAAGCAGAGAACAAAACACTCACACACATAGACATGTCACAGTCCTAAGTATGGATGACATCAACCACTTCATTGGTATTCTTACATTGTAACATACTTTCCCACAATAAAACTGCATGTGTGGCTGACCACAGATTCTGGTGTCCAGAGACTCAGAGGACTGTGACATTCTCCCAGGGGAAATACATTCAGGCCTAAAACGCATAACCAGACTGACACTAGTTAACACTCCCTTTATATTGTGAGTCCATTTCTGCTTTTGAAATGTCCCAATCAAAGACTTTTTTTAAAAAATTTTCTTCCTGAAGTCCTTGGATTTTTCTTCATTTAGGATTAGTTGAATTTTGAAATGTGGACATATTGTAATTGTTATGGTTTGCAGTCTGGCTTCCTGTTTTGTGCTTTTATTTTGGTTAGACTTCCTGTCCTATGTTACCTCACTTGCCCCAGCTTTGCTCTGGTCACAATCACCATTCATTTTTTCCACCTGTTGATCATTATCCCCTGGTGTTCTGCCTATATATCCTCCTCCCTTCGTGCAGTCTGGTTGCTGGTTTGTTTTGTCTCCATGCCTTGTTGCCCCTGTTGTCTGCATATCTGCTCACCACACCCTGCTTATTCCTGTGGCTGAGTAAGTTTCTTCTGATTTGTTTGCCAGTCAGA